TCAGACGTGTGCTCTTCCGATCTCCCCAAAACCCCAAAACCCCGCATGATTGGGATTGAGAAATTGAGGATGATTAGAAATGAATTTGACAAATCTAGATTATTAGATTCAGATAAATGAACAAATTTCTGAGAGATTAGAAATAGTAAGAGAGTGCTGGGAGTGTGAAGTGACTTAAAAGGGTAAATAGATACTAGGTTTATAGAACGCCTGGATAGCTCAGTTGGGAGAGCGTCAGACTGAAGATCTGAAGGTCCCTGGTTCAATCCCGGGTCTAGGCATACCTTTTTCATCTCTTAATCTTTTAATACGAATATTTTATAATATGTTTTAATGATAAATTTTACAGAATTAATAGTAAATTTTTTATATGCAGGGAACTTCTCCCAATAATTTATCAGTCACATAGAGAGCCTAGGCAAGTAACAAGACTAAATTATCTCTTAAGATTTTGCTTTAATCCTCAAAACCTATGACTAATGGAATCAGTTTCATCCAATTGCAATAGAGAAGCTAATTGAATAATAAGCGAATTCTTTAATTGTGAAAGTCAAAAGATGCACCAAAGATTGTTGAGGAATAAAAATAACAAGTCTATAAACAGTGTAACATCAAACATTAAGTCAAGATTGTTCAGGTTTAGCCTAAGCAAAACTCTGATTCATCATCGTCAATTAAGTTCACTCAAACTGCTCTTGGAGATATTTACACTGCAGAGACCATAAACGATGTGGATGTTGAGGAGGAGAGGGGTTTCTCTTCACGATTGGGGTCTATAAACAAGCTTGATAATGCAGCCAGCAATTACAAAAATTTTTTCCAAAATTGCGAGGACGAAAAAGAAAGGGTACTAGATAAGGAGACTGATGATTATTAAAATGAGGAAAATGAAGTTAGATAGCTATAGCAATGTAGGTCAATAACCTCACTTTAAAGATAGAACTTGCATGAGAACGTGCCTACACAATTGATGGAATGAAAGCCTTTCACAAAACCACCACTTAATGGATTGGGATAAATAAAAAACTATTTTGCAGATAATGATTAGCTCACTGTAGCCTGCTACAATTAGCAGCAATAAATTTCATCTCTCAAGGCATCCTCAATGTTTTCAGATATCAAATACAAGAGCTAGGACAAAAGGCTTACAGTAAATGTGAGATCTATATAAGCTAGAAAAGAATATGATAGTAAGAATAGTCAGATTTTTAGCAAATTAACTCCTTTAACGGTGAACTCTGAGAAATACCAATCCGAAAGATAATCATTTACAAGACCTCCAACTAATTTAAGAAGAAATATTTTTGATCAGAGTCAACATTCTCAATTGCTTAGAACATAGAGTTCTCATGATGAATAAGTTTTCTAAAAAGTATAGCTTCCTGAGGGATTCAAAGTAAACTCATAAGAAGATGATTTCTCTTATGGGACTCCAATTGTAACTTATGTTAATAATACAATAGCAAATACTCCAGTAAAAATATAAGTTAACTAGAATATGCAGTCATTTAATGTTAAATAGCAAAATCAAATATCAGTTGAGAAAAAACTACAACCTTTTTCAAGCACTGTGGTGCGAGAGGAATCCTAAAACAAAAGTTCTTTTTGCCGTATAAGCCACCTTAAACGTATGTATAATATTTTTAAATTAATGATATAGAAATAGCAGGGGATGAAGATTGTGATAATGTATCAATTCATAGTAAAAGCTTAAGTAGAGATAAAAATCAAAGTAGCTTGAATACATATTAAAAGGACAAAAAAGAGTATGACATTGATGTAGATATGGATCTTGAAGATTTAAGGTCAACCCCAATAATCATCTAAGATGTATTATAAATGTCTACTGCAACTAAGAACTAACTTAGTATATCACAAAAAATTAATAAACTTAACTAATCTCACAGAGGTAAATAGGAGTTTAACTTCTCTCGTATTGAAAACAAGCATCTCATAGAAAACAAAAAAATCATTTAATAAGTTAAGTACAAAACTGATAAGAATCTCTTAATCAATGCTTGGTTTAGCATAGATAAAAAATTCATCAAAATTGCTAAAAATAAGGCAATAACAGATTTGATTTTATCAGTAAATTATCATAGAACTTGCGTAACAGTAAAATAAATAGGATAGAGTACAATCTAGATTTGTGCCTAAGACTTTGAAAATTTCGAAATTGTTGTACTTAATGGTGATACCCTGCACAAAATATTGGATAATCTGAAAATATATCTTTCATAAGCTAAATTTTCAAAAAAAATTCAAAACAGATACACAGATTTCAAATTGTCTATTTAGAAACAGGTAAGGTAATTACTATTTCATTTTTATAGACAAGAGTATCATTGGAATAATTCAGGGAAATAGCTGATACTGGTGATATCATATTTTTCAAGGGAAAAACGATGGGATGTAAAGTTCAAAGATTTTTTACTAGATGCGATTTCGACCATGTTGCCCTAATACTTAAGTACAAGTGTGGAACACTAGTGTTGTTTGAATCAACAGGAACAGCTGTAAGTTATATTTTATTTGATTTTAAAGGGTGTTGAATTGCTGTTATGGGATATGTTTATAGATAAAGGATTTCACGGACTTTATGAATCAATAGCCTTTAGGCATCTAAATTTAAAGCGAACCACTTCAAGAATGAAATCACTTGAAGAGTTTATCAAAGTAGCTATTATATATCAATAAAACAATAATTTATAGTGTAACAGAGGAAAAAAGTATAGATTGAATGCAATTGATCTATTGAAATCAGAATAGAATGGGGAAGAGTAAGAATAGGAGGGATTCTTCTGCTCTGAATTAGTTGCTGCTGCGTATTAATCTTTAGGCTTACTTCCCAAATCTAAACTACCTTCAACATTTTGGCCATCAACTCTTGCAGATGAAAATTTAAAACTTGAGGATGGTATTACTTTATCTAAGCTTATAGCTATCGACTATTAAAATATACCTACCAAATTATGATTAATCTGATGATTATCAATTATGGTATTGCTTGATTATTGTGATAATCAAGTCATGCTAAGTCAATAATTTATTTACTGCTTTTCCAGAATATGTAATCAACTAAAATAATTTTAAAATCTAAATGCATTATATAGTATCTCTTATCTACGTTATTAGCAATCTTGAGGGGTTTTGGGGTTTTGGGGTTTTGGGGTTTTGGGG